AAAATAAAAATAAAATAAACTTAAGGCTCAAAGAGTTTAAGAGTGACACACAAAGTGGCAGAGCTGGGTCTAAAACTCTTATCTTAATAACAACCATGGATCAATTAGAACCATGGCACTGTAACCGTGATACCAACTGAAGGAAAACTCACCGAGGTGACCAGAGGCCAAGGCTCCATTATCGAGGCTGAGCTTCCCTCTGCTTTTTAAAAACACAGCTGTCAATGCCCTGGCCAGTGTGGCTCAGTTGGTTGGGCATCCTCTTGTGCACCTACAGGTTGCTACCTTGATTCCCCGTCAGAACACATGCCCAAGGTTGCGGGATCGGCCCCCATAGCTGACCGATGTTTCTCTCTCCCTCGTCTTCCTCTCGCTCTAAAATGAAAAAACAAACAAACAAAAAACATATTGAAAGCACAGCTGCCAAGAAGGGAAATCTGGTCCGAAGATGTGGTGGGTTTCAGCTACCAGCAAGTGTGAGACAATAACCAGACTTTTCAAGAGAGACTATCTTCTTACTGATTCTTACTATACAGTTTATAAGTTAAAAAATCAGAAATCACAGGCCCCAAAAGGTTCCAATGTGGAGAAAGCCTTTCTTCAAATCCAACAAATTATCAATCTCTATACATTTCAGCCCACAGCCATCCCACCATCTTGGCTTCGTGATCCTTAGAACATTCCTTTTCCATCGCCAAGATCAGTGACTTCCTCCCTAACTTCAGTACATACCAAATTACAATGAATGCACATGACTTAATGTTCTCAAGCTCTTACCCTGAACAACTCAGATAGTTTGAGAGTCACACACAAAGTTAGTAGCAGAGCTGGATTCTCATTAGGAATCTAAACATGAGAGACATTGGAAAGACTCATCTGTTCCATATTCCAGTGGAATCTGAATGTCTGTGATGTCTCCAAAAAAAGCAAATGCTGCATAAAGAATTTTGCCATCCACTTCCTCTGTCAGCCCACCTACAAAGGCACCACGCTCCTTCGGAACTAATGTCCTCCATACTCTTGGTATGGCTGCAGTAACAATGTGCTAGGAAGATAGCCAAAGCCTGGCCAAACCGGTTTGGCTCAGTGGATAGAGCGCTGGCCTGCAGACTCAAGGGTCCCAGGTTCCATTCCGGTCAAGGGCATGTATCTTGGTTGTGGGCACATCCCCACAGGGGGGCGTGCAGGAGGCAGCTGATCGATCTCTCTTCTCTCATTGATGTTTCTAACTCTCTATCCCTCTCCCTTCTTCTCTGTAAAAAATCAATAAGAAATATATATTTTTTAAAAAGATAGTCAACGGCCAGAAAAGGAGGGGTCCTACAGTCTTTTGAGCACACAAAGTAACTTCTCCCCATCCCTCTTCAGCCCTACATCTAGCCCCTCTGACAGCTTCCAAATGAGCTCACCACTTCATTTCTCCTTCCTCTGTACAGTGACTACAATGATTCCAAGAAAGCGCAAATCTGATTACAGCACTGCCCTGCTTAATATTGCCCTAAAGCTCACCAATGCCCATAGGACGGGTCCAAATTCCTTAGCATGGCATATAAGACCTTCATAACCTGACTCTCTAGCCTTTTCTCCTCCGCTTCCCCAGTCCAAATTATTTGCCTCCAAGAGCTAGACTTACTTCACCCCTCTAGGCTTTTGCTCTTCCTGCTCTCTATTCAGGCCAGCGCCCTGCTCCCAGCCTAACTCTTGACCTTTCAAACCTAGCTCTGGCCTCAGCACCTCCAGGATGTTTGCCCTCATCTTTCCAGATGGAGTGGTTATTCCTGGAAAACCCCAGCCCGACCCCCCTCAGGAATCAATCAGGCAACTGCATCACGTGCTCACCAACCAATGGTGAGGCTGTTTCCATAATTCCCTAACTATTCTGGAAATGCCTCATCTAGGGAGCCAAGGCTGAGTTTGGGATGCCAACCAAGGTCCCAATAACAGATTTCACCATTGTTCTGGTCTAGGTCCGAGGGAAAAGGACTCTGGGCAGCGCTAGGTTCAATGGCGCCATCAAGTCGTGAGCACCATTCAAACTGCAGGGGTAAAGCCTAAAGACACCGGGTCTCCGCCGCTAAGTGCCCCCACGTAGATCGCGAGCACCTTTCAAACTGCGCGGGTAAACCCCCGAGACCGGGTCCTGGCCGCCAGGTAGATCGCGAGCACCGTTCGAACTGCGCGGGTAAAACCCCATGAGACCCGGCCCTGACCGCCACGTAGATCCCTAGCACCTTTCAAACTGCGCGGGTTTTGAGACCAGGTCCTGGCCGCTACGTGCCGCCAGGTAGATCCCGAGCACCTTTCGGGTAATACTCATAAGAGACAGTGTACTGGGCGCTACGTGCCGTCACGTGAATCAATAGATCGCCAGTACCAAGTACCGAACTGCGCGGGTAAAACTCGTAAGAAACAGCGTCCTGGCCGCTACGTGAATCAATAGATCGCCAGTACCAAGTACCGAACTGCGCGGGTAAAACTCGTAAGAGACAGCGTCCTGGCCGCTACGTGCCGCCTCATAGATTCCGAGCACTTTTCGGGTAAAACTCGTAAGAGACAGCGTCCTGGCCGCTACGTGCCGCCACGTTATCAGTAGATCGCCAGTACCAAGTACCGAACTGCGCGGGTAAAACCCGTAACAGGGCTCTGGCAGCTACCTGCCGCCGCTACGTAAATAGCACCATGCAAACCTCAGGGGTAAAAACCCCATGAGACCCGGCCCTGACCGCTACGTGCCGCCGCCACGTAGATCGTGAGCACATCCCGGCTGGCCGCTACGTGCGGCTGCGTGCCATCACGTGCCACCACGGGCCAACCACAACCTCGGTTCAAGACCGGTGTCACCGCCACGCAGGCACCCCGCGGTGTCAGCCATCTTGCTGCTGCGTCTTCCGCCGGAAGCCCGCTCCCGGGCCCCGCCCCTAACTCTCTAGCGCAGTTGCCTGCACCAACCAGGTTCTGCAGCTGCACGGGTGGGGGCTGGAGGGGCGCAAATAGAAAACGCACATACATAGCCGCGTTACCCACGGTCGGCGTCAGGAAATGGGAGAATCTATTGTACATTGGGCCAGACCTTAAGGAAAAGGGGGAGCCGACCAAAACGGAACATTCCAAGGAATGGGATCACGTGGGTGAGGCCCGAAGGAGAGCCTGCCAAGCTCAAGGAAAGGATAAAGGGAGGGTTCATGGAGGAAAAGGACACGTAGACTGTTAGCCTTGGCCAATAAGATTGTTTTAAGGACTAAAGGAATCACAAAACACTTATGATTTGAGCAACTGTTTGCTGTTGCCACTCGGACCTATCTTCCCAAGCGTTTCCCGCTGCCAGGGGAAGCCCCCAGTTGCAGAATTTGGGGAACTGGACATGCTGACCTGCATGCAGGGCTGTTGGAGAGAAAAGGCACTGACAACCCACCATCAGCACGTCATGGAGGGGGGGACCAGGTTCTGCATATCTCATGTCCTTCAGAAACATGCCACCCCTATATCGGATCCAAGGCCAGCTTTGATCGGATGCCTGTTCCCTTAAGTTAAATGGAGCAAATATAAAGTCCTTCCATAACATAAAGAAATGGGACAGTTATGCACACCTAGCTAACCCAAAATAGCCTGCTTATAACTGCAGGAAAGAATAAGCTATACAGAACTTCACTTGACCCTATTTACATCCTAAAATTACTTCCAGTGAAGAGATTTATAGAATAAAACTGTGATCAGAGTACAACACAAGATAGGCAGTTTTATGGAGTTTTTTCTTTATTGAGAAACTTAAAGACTTGGATACATCAAATAAAACCAATTTCTGGGGAAAGATCAAAACCCACAACAGGAAAAAAAAAGTTAACACTGTCTGAGCTGTAGCAGAACCCAGAGAATATATTCTTTTAATTGAAAAATTCTAGGTGCTTCATAATTGACCTTTTGATACAAAATGACCTATTAAATTTGCAATTTGTGGTTCTTAGTGTTGAGGTCCATAGGACAAGCTAGGAAGTCTTCAAACCTTGAGCTGAATTTCATGAGGGGTTATTTGGCTTTTGAATCCTGAAAAGAAAAGCACCAACATAAATAATCAAAAGAACTTCAGAGATTCACTGAAATCTCTGGCTGATAAAAGGTATTACAGAGCAGGGTTTCTCAACCTCAGTGCTCACATTTTGGCCTGGATAAAATTCTGCTGGGGCTATACTGTGCAGTGTGGAATGTTTAGCAGCATCCCTGGCCTATACCCACTAGATGCCAGTGACACATTCCCAGTTATGAGAACCAGAAATGTCTCCTGACATTGACAAATGTCCTCTGAAGGGGCACACCTAATTTAGAGTCACGGACTTTGAGGATAACTAGTCTGTAAACCCTTACACCTCCCCTCCTTGTAAGCCATCCTGTACTCAAAACTTCTACTTTTATGGTTCTCTTGCTTAAATTCCAAATGACAAAAGCCAAGGAGCCATGGCTATGTTGAGTCAACCCCAACCATCATACCAGTTCTAACCCATACCACCTGCACTTTCCATGACTGTGCCTCTGCTCATTTGGTTCTCTCCTTCATCAGCCTTTGTCAGAGGTCCTAGTTAAGCTTCACTCACCCAATCCCCTGCAGACAGGGACCATGGTCCCCAAGTCCAGAAGTTGACTGGAACACATGCTGTAACTGTAGTCAGGTGTGTGTCTGTCTCTTCCACTTTGACACCAAGGCCTGTGCCTACTGTGTTCCCAGAGCTAAGCAGTGGCTACATACACAGCTGACCCTCACCAATCTCAAACCAGGAAGATGGTCATAGAAATGAGGCTGTGAGATCTGATTATATTCATCATTATTCCAAACCCAAAATGTGATTAAGAAAATCTGCTTATAACCATCAGGAAAGGATAAGCTATACAAAATTTCTAACTACGTGCTTATTGAGAAAACTGTTGTTTGCTCCTTATAATTTATAACCTGTACTCTTTTCTCCATGTTAACTCATCCAGATGGCAGCATCCCCAAGTTAACTGGCTCTCCATATTGTCCCTAATATTTTAGGAAGATATTCACAAGTCAAACTATTATAGAAAACAAAAAATAGCCAAACGTACGTTTTTTCCTTGCCTAAGAGGTAGCAGCAGCAACAATGCCCACCATCTGGGCAGCTTCTTTCTTGGCATGATGAGCCTGTAGAACTGCCACAGCTTCATCCACCTGTGAGAAATCTCCAGGTGGTCAGTGACATCTAAGCAGAGCCCCTCCACTCCTCCCTGATTACCAGGTCCAGTGGTGGCTTCTCCTGGTGCTGCTTTCTCAAATACCCACACCAGAGCGGCCCCTTCTCTCTGCCACATGTGGGGGTCCAAGGCCACCGGTCATCATCCGCAGCTGAGACCACCCTGCTCACCTTGGAGCGGAGAGACTCGGGGGACTCCAGCATGTGCAGCAGCTCGGAGTTGTCGATCTCTAGAAGCATTCCCGTAATCTTTCCAGCCAGGTTCGAATGCATGGTTTGGATGAGAGGGAACAAACGTTCGCCTATGGGAAGATACTCAAGTAAAAACCAAGTTGAATCCCAGAAAAGAGTGGACACTGGTGTCCAGGTCAGTACCAGGCTCTGGCCCCCTCCTGTGCAAGCACGTACCCAGCATCTGCTTCTGTTCCTGGGGGGGTGCTGCGGCCAGCATGGAGGCGGTCAGGGGCTCCTGCCCCTGCACATGGACCGCAGGCTGGGGTGCCTGGGAACCAGGAGAGGCAGCGGTTAGCACCAAGGAAAAGACACTTGAAGGTGATCAAGAGGGTGACCGTTCAACATCTGAAAGTCTACTACGTGAAAGAGGAGGTGGAGTAGTTGTCTTTGCTGTCAGGAACTAACTGCAGTCTTGAGGGGTAGAGTGTGTGAAGTGAGGCATCGTGGCGTGGGCATAGACAGACAGCCAACTACCTTAAGAACAGTATGCTATTGGAAGGGAAATAAAACAAACCTACAATGCTTGGCAACCATCTATCAAATGATTTTGATTTATTTAAGGTTGTTTACCCAAGGTTACCCAAGAATTCAAAAACCTTAATAAAATTAAAACCTTGTTAATAAGTAAGGTACAGTGAACATGTGTATGTATAGCCTTTTCCTAAAAATTAATTTTTTCCTTTAGAATGAATTCCTAGTAAAGACCAGGTCAAAGGGTATGCATATCAAAACATTTATAATTACATCCCACATAACCTTTATTGTACCAAATGTTTTTATTTTATCAAATACTTGAGGACTATCAACATGCAAGGTCAATGCCAGTTAGAGCTCTAAAAGTAGGGCCTTGTAGGCAAAAAATATTTCACATAGCATCAAGTTCTGGGGAATATTCAACTTCAAGAGCATGGAGCAGGAGGAAGCAGCTCCTGGATCACAAGACTGGTGTGTCTCCTCCAAGCAAAGTGCTACTGAGCTTTTCAACAAACCAGTTGCAGCATGGCTTGCCTGGGTGTCACAGCTCCAGAGACAGCAAGTTCCATCTTTGACAACCTAATATCTGGGTCCAACTGCCCCACCTCAACTCAACACCTCTGAAGCTGAACTCTGTGACATGAAGTTCTTTCCTGCCTCAATATACTCATTACCTTGCAGAGCAGCTAAGGATCCATTAAGCCATTGGAGGTGAAAGAGAAATGAAAGCTCAATGAGCCGAATGAACACACATATATGGTAAAAAGGAAAGCAGGAAGCACCAGCGGTCTCCTCTGGGGCGTATCCAAGCGAACTGTTTCAGGAAGAACACTTTTAAGCCCCTTCTGGCCTGCTAAAGGGCCCCTCAAGGACAGTGTCACCACACATGACACAGCATCCTGACACAGAGCAGGCATTTAACACCTGTTTAAGGAATCAAAGCAAGGCATCTTTCAAATCGCACGGGAACGGGGGAAATCCTTTAGCGGTGTTTGGTGGACCCACCTGCAGAGGTGGTATGGCAGGGTGAGGGCTGCGGACACTGGAGGCATACTTGTAAGGTGCAACAGCCCGAGGAGCAGCAGCAGCCACAGCAGCGCGAGGTGCTAAGTTCTGCACAGCTGTGGGAACACCTTAGGAAAAGAACAAGTAAAATTAAAGCCCATCAGTCTGGGCAAAGACCCGTCAAATCCCATCTTTCCCCATTCTGTGTGCATCCAATACCACCTCCAGACTGGCAGCTGTCAGTCAGCCCTTGCTGGGCGGCACCAGCCCCACCAAAGTCCATAGCCAAGCGGTCCGGGCACTCAGACCCTACAACAGACCAGCAAATGCACATCAGTGTTGGCAGATGTCCAACTGGCCACGCCCCACAGAAGGAGAAATTCCAAAGTATGTTCAAACACATCACACATGGGGCCTCTACTGCTACTCTCAAGGAACAGCCAACAGATAGCATACAACTCTTTCCACCTTTTGGAATACAGGACATACTCTGTAAAAAAAAGTTTCCTTAACTCTCCCAACTCCACCCAGAAGAACGGGCTGCCTCTAGTCATCCAGCTAACAAACTTCTACCACTAACCTTGTTCACATGGCTCACCAATGAGCAAAGATTCTTAAAAGTAACCAGCACTCCTAGAATGAATTGTTTCTCTGCCCCTTTGTACCTACCTAAGCACACAGCTAAGATTACAGAACCAGGACTCAAAGATGAGCCAACAAACTGACCAACCCTGGGCAGAGCCTAGTCCTCCTGATCCCTCCTCCCCAGGCCATGCTTCTCAAGGCCAGTTTGCTCACCGACTCTCTGAGCAGTAGTAGGGAGGCCACGAGAGGCCGGAGCATTACCAGTTGGAGCCAGGTGGCGAAGAGTTGGACGAGGCCCAGACTGGCGTATAGCACTTGGCATTCCTTGGAAGCCTGGTGAAATGATAGAAATTGCACATCAGCAACGAATACTGTGGACCAGAACTTAGGCTGCACCTCAGAGGTGGGGCAAGGAGGAGAGGCGGGGGAGACCAGGATTAAGTATATCCTGGGTAATCAATCCGTTTCCCACCACCTACCTTGAGGTCTCCCACCTTGCTGCCAGCGTGGATTAGGTCTCATCTGTGCTAACTGGTTAGGTGTGTAATATGGAGGCCTTCCCTGAGCCTGTAAGAGAGAGCACCCAAGCCCTTTTATTTCAAGGACCTAAGTCCACACTAGAGAAGCATCTGATCTCACTACCAGGCCTTGGCTAATTCAGGAAAAGGCTCTCTCTCTACTCAAAAGAAAGGTCAGTTAATGGAGAGTATTTCATTTCATCCCTGCCACTGTACGTATGACCACGGATATAAATCATTTTATTTGAAGGACGCTTCCCTGTCGTTCTAGAACTCTGATATCCCTGACCACTGCAGGAGCCACCGTCAGTGGGCAGGTTCCAGAGCCATGAATGTACAGCAGACCCACCTGTGGAACTGCTGGCACAAAATAGCCACCAGCTGCAGGCTGGAACTGATTTAAGATGGCATTGGCAGGGAGTGCTCTCATTCCGGCCACCCGCTGCATATACTGGTTCGTCAGGTGAGCCTTTCGCTCTTCCTTCCTCTGGGCCAGGGCGACATACAGTGGCTTGGAGCCCACAATGCGTCCATTCATCTCAGTGACTGCTTTGGTAGCCTCTTCAGGAGATGAGAAGCAGACAAAGCCAAACCCTTTGCTTCTCCCATCCTCCAGCATTACCTACAAAAAGGAGACCAGCTTTAGAAAAAACGTGTTCTAAGTTTGGGCAGCTATTAAGACTCAGAAAACCTGGGTTCTGCTGAAAGAGAAATCATGTCTAGGAGGGGGGGTTGTTCACCCTGTTCCAGACCAATTGAGTCACAACTTCTAAGGGTAGGACTTAGGCATTTTCTTTGTTAGATTCTAAAGTTCCCAAACACTATGAAATGGCTAATGGTTTAAACCAGGAACTGAAAGATGTTCCATGATATCCAGTAGCACAGCTATCTCTAGGTATCCACAAGAGATCTAGATGGTAATGTCAAGCAATTTAATTGTAGAATTCATCTGCCTAAGAGTTTGGCGAACAAAATTTTAATAAGCTGTTAGCACGCTTAGGATATGCTTTGGAAACACTACATGTGGGAAGGAGTTAAAATCAATGACTGCTATTCAGTGGGAGTAACAGCTGAAAAATGACCAGCTGGGAGACAGTTGGATTCTAGTCCTGGCTCTGCAACATCTAAGCTGTACAACATTAACACAACACTTACTTCTCCTCTGAGCCTCAATGTCCATGAGGCAAATAGCTAGAGAGCCACATGTCCACTGGTTCAGGCAGTCTTTTCCCAGCTCGTCTTTCACAAATGGCTTTTTCCCACTTGAAAAGGTTATTTACTACTCCCCCTGGCCTGTCTGTTCACAAGTGCTGGTAGCAATATGAATGTGTGTGTGGCACCATTTTGTCTTAGCTCACTGCCTGGAGAGCCTCTTAAGGAGAGGACATGGAAGTAAAGGTGTATATCAACCCAACAACTCTCTACCTATGAAATGGACCAACAAGGTAAGATCAAGATACCTTGATCATGAAAATGGTGCCTATGAAACTTCAAGATATGGTTCTTTTGCTCTCTTCTTGCAAATGACAACTGGACTATTGTGCTGATTAGCAAGGAGATTAGCATTCCTTGCACTGATGGAGGCCAGTCAAGGGGGTGATATGACAGAAGGGTCGAGGAACTAGAGAAACCCCACAGGGCAGTCTCTGGTCACCTCTCTGCTATAACTAATGATGACACTCCCAGGTTGTGAGTCACTTAAGCTAAGCGCCAGGACAGGGTCACCTAGCGTCTTTACTGGCTCAGCCGGTCTCCTTTCTCATCACCTAGAGGACTTTGTGACACCTGCTGCACCTCTGCTGAGCAGGACTAGAGTCTGCAACAGGCTGTGACCCAAAACTTTCAGATCCTGTCACATTCCTGAAGTGCCAAAACCATAGGTCACCATCCTGATATAACTAGAATTCTTTTGCTCAAGGACTCAAATTCCTTGACTTTTATTTATTTAAATATATTTCTTTATTGATTTAAGAGAGGAAGGAAGAGGGAGGAAGAGATAGAAACATCAATGATGAGAGTCATTGATTGGCTGCCTTCTGCACAGCCTCCACTGGGGACCAAGCCCGCAGCCCGGGCATGTGCCGTTGGCCGGAATCGAACTCAGGACCTTTCAGTCCCCAGGCCGATGCTCTATCCACTGCGCCAAACTGGCTAGAGCAAATTCCTTGACTTTAAAATAGGGTTCACATACTTACCCTGCTAACTCAGTTGATTTGATTATCAAAGAAAAATCAAGCAAATGACGCAAACTGCAAAACATGGGAAAACAAATGGGGGGGGGGGGGTTGGCAGTGAGGGACTCATATTCATCTCCATACCCCAGGACTTGGGAGATAAGATAGCGCAGTAATAACTTAATGAATTGTCATTCTCCAGAGCATACACTCAGATGGCTAATTGAATGCCAGGAGGAATTTGCTAGATTAATGTGGTAGCTACTCTCAGAAATGAACACAATTTAGATCCTATTCCGTCAATGAAACCAATGCCAATAAACTGCTAAATGATTACAACTTCTGTTTTCAATCCGAGAATCTCAGTATAAAATACCTCAGCCCTGGTGATGGATCCGAAAGGAGAAAACTCTTTCCTTAACTTCTCATCATCAATGGTGTCATCCAAGTTCTTAATGTAGAGATTCACCCCCTACAGCAAAAGAATCACTGTTAATCTTTTTTACCCCCTTCCCCCAATATATTCCATAAGACAGCGCTTTCTCAAAGTGTAGGTCTCAGACCAGCAGCAGCAGAATCTTTGGGTACTTGTTTGGAATGTAAATTCTCAGGCCAGAATCCAAACCTAATGGGTCTAGCAACCCATGTGTTTGTTTTTATTGATTTTAGAGAGAGGAAGAAAGAAGAGAGAAAGATCCATCAGCTGCCTCCTGCATGCCCCCTAGCAGAGATTGAGGCTGAAACCCGAGTGTATACTCTGACTGGGAATCAAGTGGCAACCTCTCGGTGTATGGGACGCCGCCCAACCAAGCTACACCAGCCGGAGCAGCAATCTGGTTTTAACAAGCCCTGCAAGGGATTCTGGTGCAGGCTCAAAGTTGAGAAACTACCACTCTAAGATTCTGATAGGAGCACCATGTACTCACCCGCTATCATCTCCTCACAGCTGCTCTGGCTGACCACTCATCCCAGCAGGGCTCTCCTTGCCACCATTCCAAACAAATGCATATCATTTAAATAAAAGGAACCACATAACTAAGACTTGAGGCTTGTGGAACAGAGTCCCTAAAGGAATAAATTAATCTCTTTGGTCCCTGTTCTAGAATTGCTGCTATATCTGGTAGGCATATCCTTTTAAGCCTGATGATGGTGAGCAGGCTCCAAGTCCCCAAGAAAGTCTGTTAAATATCTGGGTGCTGTGCCAACACACATAGTAAATTCCTTGATGGTAGGCTGTGCCAAGACCACCTCTCACCTGATATCGACTAATTCTCTCTTGCTTCAGTTGTTCAAATTTCCGTTTTAACTCAGCCTGCCGTTCCACTTTCTTCTGTGCACGGCCTACAAAAATGACTTTCCCACTGATTTCTTTTCCATTCATCTCTTCCACAGCCTAAAGAAGAAATAAATATGCATCTTTAAAACAGGATGCAGAGGCATGGGGCCTTGCTCTGGAGATCTGTAAGACCCACCAAATATTCCGAGAAAGAAATCTTCCCTATAGGGCTAAAAACTAACTTCACTCTGTCTCTGAAGTCAGCTAAGCAAATTCAAACTTCCTCATCAATAAAACGGGGTTAATATTTAGATGGGTTATTGGTCCAGATAACATAGGAGGGGAAATAGCAGTTGTATAAATACAAGCATAGAAGACACGAGCCTGGCTTGATCATCGGGCTGTCATCAGATTCAGTTCTTTTGTGGGTACTAAGTGATACATGTCAAGGGCCTAGAATGTATCTGATACTACGCCCACAGGGAGCTAATGTCCTAGTATCAAATCACAAACTCTCTGGCCCATAGTTCCCTTGCCTATGAATGGGAACAAACACCTGTCCTATTCCAACCTGCAAGGCTGAAGAGCTAAGGTGACAGGTATGTGCCAAGTGCTTTGAAAACAGTTAACTGATACATTAACATGTAAAACCCCTTAAGAAGGCCATTCCAGAGCACAGTAACTGTACATCACTACTAGACTCTTAGATAATTCCAGCTCCACTCTAAGTGTTACCAAGGCCCTAGCTGCATTCTGGAGCCTTCCTATAAAATTTTCCCCGACCCTGGTGGTACTCTCACCTTATTGGCATCCTCGTGTTTTTCGTAACTCACGAAGCCAAAGCCTTTGGATTTCCCAGTGGGATCTCTCATCACCTTGACACTTAAGGTCTTACCTATTACCAAAGGACAGAACTATTAGTAACACCATTGGTACCACAGTTCAAGGAGCCCACTTGAAGCAACCTCTTGCTGAACCCAGATGGACTACTAAGAAAGAGACATCGTGCCTGGCCTTCTAATTCTGACCAAGCTGCTGAGATGGCCTTGGAGCTTGGACGAGGTAGAGTAAAGCCAAGAGCTGAGGCCTGGAATCTATTCTTAGCTACCCTGTGACCTTTGTCATAGAAGGTGTTTTACTTCTGGGTCTAGGTGCCCTCTTCTCTTCACTGAAAACAGATGAAGTCCAGGTCTGGTGGACTATGAAAGAGGGCACATGGGCCAAAGGACCTGACTCACCAAACTGGCTGAACAGCTCTTTCAGACTCTCATCATCCACCTCTTCCCCAAAGTTTTTGATATACACATTAGTGAACTCCTTGGCTTTGGCCCCAAGCTCGGCTTCCCGCTCTTTTCGAGACTTGAATCTGCCCACAAACCTAAAAGGAACCCATGAAAAACAGTGATCATCCAGAGGAACAAACCATGATTTCCAGGGACCCAAAGGAATGCAGGTTAAAGGCTGACAGGAGAAGTTAAAACACAAGTCCCAGTCCAACCACCAAGAAAGCAAGCTCAGAGATGCCCAACTCCCCACAGAAAGAAAAAGAAGTAGGACTGTCCGGCAGGGACCAGCCCCAGGGCTCCTGGTTCACACCAGGCTACTCCTACCACATCACACTGCCTTCGTGAAGAAACCTGATGACCAAGTTTTTTAAACGTCCATTTCTGTGCATCTATGTAAATGCATAGAAAAGGTCTGGAAGGATACAAACCAAACTGTTAACAGTGGTTAATCTGAGCAGTGAAATTGCTGGCGTGGACTACCTTTAATTTTTCACTTTATTCATTTCATTGTTGTTTACACTTAATAGGAATGTATCCATACATTGAATATCTTTAGGTTTCCCTCTAGTGATATCTTTGGGCACATAGACATTATCAATGCAACCATCCCCTGGTCTGCTCAACAACGCAGAGGACAGAAATAATCTCTGTTTATTATAGCCAAGACTTATGGTCTCTTCTCCTCTCCTCTCGATGGCTTAGCTAAGATCTCCATGTCTCCATTCTGCAATAACCACACCAAAGCAACAAGGTCTATTATAAATAGTGTCTTCTGCGACGGGATGAGATTTTTTTATTGTAACCAAATTAAGTATTACTGTGGAGCCAGCCTGTGTTAAAAGGCTACCGAGTCATAAATTAGCCAAGTGGAGATCCGGGGACAATTTGGCAAGTGACCCCTTGGACAGACCAAGGTCACATGGCTAATATACAGCTCCTGGTTAGTCCAGGGCCCTCTCCACTCTGCCGCTGGCCAAGACCCCTGCTCAGAGTGGGCTTAGAGCTGTTTTCCAGCCAGCCCAGGTGCCAATGATCATAAAACCCAGACATGTGCTTTTAAGGGAGAGGCGGCAGGCAGGCCATGGCTTGGGCAGGAAGCCCACCTTTGGCAAGTCACAAGGGCTGCCATGGCTCAGCAGGGAGACTCACCAGCCCAGGAGTGGAGAGGTAGGAGCAGGCCACACTTGGGCCGAGAGAACCAGGAGCCGCCTTGTGTGTGTCAGTTAATACCGAGGTGGGGCCATGGCTGGCTCATGCGATGGCTGTTGCTCCAGACTGGGACACTCACACTTTGCGGTCATTGAGGAGCATGCCGTTCATCTTCTCGATGGCCTTGTCTGCAGCCTCTTGGGTCTCGAAGTGAACGAAGGCATAACCCTTAGAGCCATTCTCGTCACACACCACCTGTCAAAGACAAGGCAGGCCAGGTTAGTGCCACTGGACAGCCCGGAGCTTCAAGAACCACATGGTCTCTTACTCAGGGTCTCCCATGTCTGAGGTTGTTAGCCTACCCCGGGGCAAACTGCAGGAGGCTACAGCAATTAAGGTTTTTCTAACCCTCACTACAGCATCAGGCCCTCAGTAATGTTCCATTTACAAATGGTAGCCATGTAAACAACCACCACACAAGTTGTTAGCAATTCTCCACATAAACAGGTGCAGAGAAAATGAAGGTGAGTTTATGCTTCTAAAATGACTACACACAGCTTCCTGGAAACCACAGGCACTGCTCTGGGTTCCCGCCCCCAACAGAAACCTTTTCATGCTTTCCAAAGTTAGAAGACAGGAAGGATATTTCAGGCAGAGGGAAGAACAAAGACACAAAAGCACCTGCTAGTTATGCTAGGTTGTGGCACGAGATTATCTACAGGGAACATTTAGGCTTAAGAGCCATTTCCAGAATTTTGAAAATTTACATGCCCTGGCACCCAAAACCCAGGCAGTTTCCCGTTTAGTATTTATCTTATTTTCAGAATACAGTTATTCTGCTGCAATTATTTAATCAGTGTTTACCTTGCAGGACAGAATGTTTCCAAATGCAGAAAAAGTATCATAAAGTGCCTTGTTATCTATAGATTTGTCCAAGTTCTTGATGAAGACGTTTCCCACACCCGATTTTCTCAAAGAGGGATCCCTTTGAGACCACATGATGCGGATTGGCTTTCCCTTAATCACATCGAAGTTCATGGTATCCAAGGCCCGCTCAGCTACAAGAGAAACACATTTCAGTCGAGGATATAAAACACCTCACGTAGCTAACTGCCATTATCCCAGGAATAGGTAACTCCAGGACTTTTCAAGGTAATAACTGATAAAAGGCAACTCTTACAATTAAAGGGCATCAGATGCCTCTAGCCTGTGTTGCTACTGAGGGTAAAATAACTTCTAGCCAAGTAATCTACTTCATGGCTGAAGTCTCAACCCCTCTGGGTCTGCATCCTTGTTGGGTGTTGGGTCAGGGAATCAGGAAAGATCATCTAAATGGCCTTATGGCACCAGGATCAAATGATAACACAGCAGTGGGGGATTTGTTCCAAAACACCACCACCCCCAGCGGATGCCTGAAACCACGGATGGTACCAAACCTTATATATGTTTTTTCGTATACATACATACCTATGACAAAATTTAATTTATAAATTAGGTAAGAAACTAGCAGTAACTAGTAATAAAATGAAGCAATTTTCACAATACACTGTAATGAAAGTTATAAGGTGGACTGTCTCAAAATATCTTATTGTACTATACTCAACTTTTCACTTAAATGAAGCACTTTCCAGTTCTCTCTGGCATATCTGAATTGCCCGTATCACTACTCTTGTGCTTTGGGGCCATTCTCAAGTAAAATAAGGGTTACTTGAGCACAAGCACTGCACTACTGCAGTCGATCTGATAACGGAGACAGCTACTAAGTGACTTGACCAACTGGCGGGTAGTGTACAGAGCATGAATATGCTGGACAAAGGATAACTTGTCCTGGGCAGGATGGCGGGAGATCTCATCACGCTACTCAGAATAGCGTGCAATTTAAAACTTATGAATTATTTCTGGAATTTTCCATTTAATATTTTTGGACCACGGTTGACCACAGGTAACTGAAAACATAGAAAGCAAAACAGGAAATAAGGGGGGACTACTGTACCTCCTATTTGATTAAGCTTTTTTATCACTTATAAAAGACATTGCAGCCTATCACTCACAGTGACAGGTGGAACAAATGAAATTATCCACTTTATAAAATTAACAAACTTATGTTCGGGGTGGCTAAATGATGCAGCTAACTAGTGATTAAGAAACTAACACCCAACTGGGCAGCCCGTGTGGCTCAGTGGTTGATAATTGACCTATGAACCAGGAGGTCATAGGTTCGATTCCCGGGCCAGGGCACATGCCTGGGTTATGGGCTTGATCCCCAGTATGGGGCATGCAGGAGGCAGCTGATCAATGATTCTTTATAATCATTGATATTTCTATCTCCCTCATCATTGATGTTTCTATCTCTCTCCCTTTCCCTTCCTCCCTAAAATCAATAAAAATGTATTAAAAAAAGAAACTAACACCATTGTCTAACCATTATGAAACTAACACAGAATAATATAGAATTAACAAAACTGTGAGCAAGTGATTGGGACTGGAAATGTGCTATCCCTGGTTTCGGCCCCGTTTCTTATATTCTCAGTTTCTGAGAACAGAAATTGATTCAGATAAAAAGCCTCAATCACCAAAATGATAAATATTCATGGTCACACATAGAAATGTTCTTTGTATTACGAGACAAGAAAGATAAAACTGCAGCATCTTTCTGCCTAAGTAGACAGTGCACGTAGACAGCGCATGCAGGCCCTGCACCTGGTGGTTTCCAGGCCTTCAAATGCTTTGGTGTCCAAACAAATTCTCCATCCAAGGCCTTGGTTCCTTAGCTTCCCACCAAATCCATGTGTGCACCATGGAGACCATTTAAAGAACCAGAAGCTAAAATTTATCATCACATGCAGTCAGGAGTAATTCTCTTTGCTCGTAGTAACAAGGACCCAGGGCTGGTGGCCATTTACCCTGATTTATGCAATGATAGTATTACCCAGGAATGTCCTCCATAAAGGAATGGGGGGGGGGGATGGGATGGGGAGGTTTTCTGCCTCAAGGGACCGTCTCACTTTAAAAGGGGAAAAAATTCCCTAACAGCCCCTCCACAAG